GATTACAGGAAATGTGACTGTACAAATGTATTTTTCTGATCCAAGATAAATATACTTTAATTGTACATGTAAGTATAAATATGCTGACATTCAGATTACGAGAGTTTTTTTCCACTTTGATTATCCCATGCCAAGATGAAGTCGTTTAATGTGCATTGGTTTCTTTTTCTATTACTTTTCATTGCGGTAAAATTTTTATATCTTCTCTTATAACTTCATGCAAAATTAGATCCTTTACAGTTTACATTATCGGTGTAAAAATTTGTATATTTTTTGATCAATTCTGTAAGATAATCATAGTATATATTTTTTATTGGCAAGTAATTTTACCATTTATTTGTTTATGGTATATTTTCCATGAGCAATTCCCATTTATTTTAAATGGAAACGTATAGTATTCTTCTTATTTTTAACAAAGTAGAGATGAATTTAACATGTCTTGTAAACTTCTTTTACCATCAAGCTGAAGAAATGGCGATAAAAAATATTTTATATTAATCTTAAAATATTTTATGATAATCTCTAAAGTATATGCATGTAGATAAATGACTAAATTAATGTCACCTTTAAAAACATTCAAGAACATTAATACATTTTGTTTAATTAATCCATTATTAATAAAGTCATTGATTTTCTGATATTTATAGTATTTAGAATGCATTTGTTTACTATTATAAATTATTGTAATACTGAGAAAAGGAAATGTAATAAGTACAATTTAGAGAATATTATTTATTTATTAATACTATTATTTATTGTCATATATGCATATTTATTGTCACTCATACAATATTTAAACCTAAAAAAAGGAAAGGGAGATACAAAAATTAAAATCGATGATGTTAGTTTTTTGATATAAATCATTATATTAATCCTCAAGAAATTGCAAATAGTAGTGATATATCAAAATTTATTGTTTAAATACTTTATTATTTTTATTATTTATATTTTCCCGATATATCGTTGTATTAAAAAATTCAATAGATATTGTTATTTATGTACTGTACCAATGAATTGACATTTATGCAATTATTGTTTTTTTTCTTACATCTTTATTTTATTGTATCTTCAGATTTAAGAAAGGAACAGAAGAAAAGATTTCTATATGTAAAATGTACTATAACTAATTTTCAAATTTTTCTGTAATAATTTTATAGAAGAATACTAATTAAGGTAATTTTATGTTCTACATTTCTTACTTTGTTTTCAAAATAACTTATCTATCATGCTGAGGGCGTTCCATTATCACTGATATAATTTTACTGATATATTCATGAAATGATTAACAACTATAACTACTTATAATAACGATTCAAATTTTATAATTTTTATTGCAAATAAGATATTTTCAATTTTTGCTATTAATCTTGTATACTTTAAAGTCGTATAACTATATGATACTAAATAGTATATAATAATATTTTTTCAAGTATATTTTAATTCATTAATCAATGCAATTTGTAATTTATTCTAAAGAAATATTAAGCTTATTGAAAATAGTTTAAGAGATATTTCAATTTTAATATCATGTTGTGTATGTTGTATAGTATAAATTTGTTTTATTGACAGATATCCGCAATGAATGTTCGTTTGGCTTCCCATCATGATGGAAAAGCTGGTTGTCGATGGTCACATGGAAACGGTGGCAGAAATAATAGCACTAATGGTGGTAAATTAATTTGTATAAGCAAAGTATTATTACATAGCAAACATTATTTTTAAACTTGTTTTAAACTTCAATTATTTACATCTAATTATTATTTTTAAAAATTAATGAATTTAAATGTATTAATTTGGAATTTATATTAAATAATAAATATAAGTACTATAAATAATTATGTCACTTAAATTTAAAATATTTCTGTTTGGAAGTATTAATTAGTATTATAAAAATTTCTATTATCTTGCACAATATTTTATTTGTACTTATTTGCAGGTGGACAAACCAACACCACTCAACAACTTTAACGTCAGGCAAATCAATTCAATTAGAACAGATGAAAAAATAAACAATAAATAAACTAAATTAATAAAATATTGTAAAATAATTATTTTGCTATGCAAAAATAAACATATTATTATTTTCAATATTTAATAAAATAAAAGTAAATAAAGATAGGAAAATCTGTTTCTTTTTTAATATATTGGACTTATGACAAATATTTTTGTTTTATTGTTTGCGTAATCAAATGATATTTTTTGTGTAATCAACTATATTTTTCTTACATTATTAATATGAATTCTTATTTATATAATATTAGATGTTTTATCGTTTCTCTATTTTAGAAAAGTAATCATTTTTTTATTTTACATATTTAAAAAATATAAAGATAATATATATACATCAAATTATACATGTATAGTTTTATATATAAAAAATATAATACAGAAATTAATATTTTATTTTTAAAGGAAAATAAAAACTAAGGATAACTACATGTATATGCATAATAATATAATAATATTAAAATTATATGAAACATATAAAGATTATAATATAATTTAAATGAGATTCTAGAACTATAATATACTTTTTTTTTAAATTTTTTCCAATAATAGTGGCAGTGAAATATTGAAATTTTACTTATAAGCTTGAATGTTTTCCTTTTACAACTTTTCATATAATTAAGTTATACATTATATATAAAATATATAAAATCACAAATGATCAAATAGATTTTACAGATTTTATCTAAATAACAGCATATATACGTCCACTTATGTTTTGACTTTTATCTATTATCATCAAACATTTAATACATGCATAATAATAAAAATAATAAAAAGTAGATTTACATAATTGCCAATTGTACTTTATTTAAATATTTGTACATTTCTTTTATAGCTAATTTTGAAAAAAATTCCTTTTTTTAAATAGTCTGATAATGTATTGCTACACTTATCTTTACAAGATAGTGTCTACAAATTTGTTACAAATTATTCTACGACAAGTAACATAATTTGTTACATTTAAGACAATTTTTAATTTCAAACATAGAACATTGTTTTTAGAATTACGTTTTTATATCTATTTTCTTTAACTTTTTTCTAATTAGTAATATTTATTACTACTGTATTTCGTTTATTTCAAGCACATTTTTTGATATTTTACATCAATTGTAATTGATTGCTCATTAAGTTTATTTAATTTAAGAATGTTTATCTAATAACAATGTTCATTGACTTGTCATTATGACTTATTCACTACAGTTGACTTTTTATATCACAGTATTTTATATAATTCTTAATCCATTGACTAAAATATAAAGTCAAAACATAATACAGTAGTGTGATTTAAATATTAACATAAAAGTTATAAAAATTTTAGTTTATTAAATTTAACAGAAAAATTAGAACTAATTTGATTTGAAAAATATAAATTTTATTTTGAAAATAAAAAAAAGATGTAAAATATATTTAATTCTACATTTATATTTCTTATATTATGCGAAAAATAAAACTAATACTGAAATAATAATTATGAGTATGGAAGTGTATCATGTATTTTCTTTATGTCTTTTTTTCATAAAGTTTTACATTATTGTAACTTGTATTTTACAAAACATCATAAAGCAATCTTACAAAATAAATAACATATATAAAATTTTTTAGATATGACTAAATAAGGCAATATTTATTACACATTTATTTGAAATGTATATGAATTTAATATACTAAGCACTTTTGTTTTGTTTTATGTATTGTATATATAACTTATTTTTTTAATAAATGAGTAAGATCTTTATTTTGTTTCTGCAGCATAATATCTGTCTTTTCTGCTTTATCTGTTATGTTGTCAATCAAGTCATTTTGTAAATCTATCTCTTCTGATAATCCTATAGCTAAACCTTTTAATCTAGCTAATGAACCACTCATTTCATCTAAATTTTTTTCTAATACCTTGCTCACGTTATTACTTAAAGAATTTGTTTCTACATCATTATCCAGGCCATGTAGCTTTAATGCTGGACTTATATTAGCCATATTAGTTTGTACTTGTTCTAAAGAATTTGATAGAGCAGGAGATGTCATAGATTCAGAGCTAGAAGACTCTGATAATATAGTTGATGGTATTGGTGCATCCATTGATTTACCACTGAGATAATTTTTAAGACTTCCAAACACACTTTTTATTCCTTGGATATGCTTTTGACTAAACCTTAATGTGCTATTAATATCGTCTAATCTTTTTTCTGTTCTTTCTAATTGTTCTCTTTGTCTAATGAGTTCCTAAAATAAAACAATTAATATACAGTTAAATAAATGTAATGAATTAAAGCAAACATATAATAATAAACATTTTATCTATATTGCAAATTTGACATTTCAATACATTTTATGCAAATTTATAAATTAATGAAATTAAATTGCATTTAGATAACTTAATATTAAATTTAAGTAGAACAATTTTTTTTTTTATTAAAAATTGTCTTGCATGTCAAAAATAACTTGAAATAATAGATAAACTGAATAAACACGTAAATAAAATTTTCTAAATAAGCATAGACAATGAGGAATAACATAGAATAACAACAGATAGCGACGTACAACAAAAGAGCAATTTATTTAATAGTCAAATTTTTAGTTACCTCTGCAGTAGCAGCTCCAATCTGTTCAGAGTCTCTTAGTATTGAAATAGATCTTTTCGTCGATTGTATCGTACGTTCTTCTATTTCCTTTTTTCGTTGTAATAATTGTTGATGCTTTTGTTCGAGAACATTGTCAAAATTATTATATTGATTGTAAGTCGTGTGACCAGATCTCGGTGGTGCACTATTTAAAAATGTTTCGTCGTCAATGTCGTCTTCGAGAGAGAAAAATGGATTGTTCGGATCACTCAAATAATTTTCATTTGCCATTTTCCAGCGTATCAAATATTTAACAATCTGTTACAAAATCTAGTTAAATCGTCCGAGGCAGCGACATTCGTAGACACGTAAGATCTGAAGCTACGTTATACTAGACGGCATTCTATATGTATATCACGTTCCCTCAGTGATTCTCAATCGTTTTATTAGTAAATTTAGAAGCTTTTTCTAGTAATATTTAAATTATCTTCTCAACTTTGAAAACATTTTATTGAAAAAAAAAAAATAAATTTAAATGCAATAAAAAATATATATTGTATATTATTTTATTTATAAATGAGAAACGTTATAACATATATATTGCTCGCAAAAAAAATTACTTAGTTTGATCTATAGATGAAGATAGCTAAAAATGACGTATAAAATGACGTCATAGATTAAGCGCAATGTAAATACTTAAGTAAATATTATGAATAAGTCGACGAAATTTAGATAATGCCATTAGTTAACGATATATTTTTTTTGCTTTACACTTTTCCGAATTAAAAATTTTTTATTATTTTAGTGTCATTTCTAATGTTAATGACTTAGTATAAAATAAGATTATAACCACAGATAAAAAATACAAAAATAATACAAGAATAATAATTTATTACAAACAAAGCATTGCCTTCTTTTTTAACATTGAACATTAGAATTTAGAAAAAAGAAATGAGAATTTATATTGATAATATAATATAATGTCGCATGTAATCGTGTGACACGAAACATAGTAACAAAATTGTGACTCTCCAAATCACGAATACGAAAAAGCATTGCATATCTATTCTGTTTTTCGTCAATGGTAGAAAGACTTTATTTGCGAATGTTTACTATTTCATCGCGGCGAGTTTCTCGTCTATGACTCAACCACAAACTCAACGTATCAACCGATAAAACAGATTCAATTTCATAGCGAATGATGGAAAAATCATGCAGCAAGTGCTGCCTCCAAGCGATAAAATATTCAAATAGAAACTTTAACCGTTATTCACTGCTTTTCAAATGTTCCAGTGAGCACATATCGATTCTAGTGCGAGAAAGTTAACCATCGACTTCGTACGAGCGGTTTGTTACATCTTTTCCGTTTTAAATAATCTGTAACAAATAACAGAAAACATGGAATCCGCTATTGTCCATCTCGAACAAAGTGTAAGCATAGTTTTTAATCATTTTTAGTTTATTCGTTTTAAATGTCATTCGTAATTTTTCATAAATATTGTACTTCATCAAATAAATGTCAAATGTTAAATGTCTATTTATGTATGGATGATAAGTTAATTTTGTAAATTGTTTGATGTTGCAGGTGCAAAAAGCTGATGGAAAATTGGACATGATTGCATGGCAAATTGATGCTTTCGAAAAAGAGTTTGAAGATCCAGATAGTGAGGTATGTTTTACTTAAAGATAACATTGTTCAAAATGTACAAATTATATTTTTTCCCATTAATTATCAATTAGAATTAATTTATTAAAAAATTAGTTGATCAAAAAATGACATATTTCGTTTAAATGTCAGTTTTATTTAATTGATAAAAAAAGATTTAGTTAGAGAAAATTACAATTGCAAACTTCTTTGCCTGGTGGTTACTAAATTTAACATTTAAATTGCTGTTTTTATTTTTCTTCTTTTTTATGCTTTTAACAGATCTCTGTGCTTCGTCTATTAAGGTCTGTTCATCAAGTTACAAAAGATTATCAGAACCTTCGGCAAGAAATATTAGAGGTTCAACAGTTACAAAAGCAACTTTCAGATTCTCTTAAAGCACAATTGTCTCAGGTGCATGGACATTTTAATTTATTGCGCAATAAGATAGTAGGACAAAGTAAAAATCCACAATTAAAATAAGATTAGAATGTTATTTTTTAAAATTAGTTATTTTTTTAAATTATTTTCTAAGTTTTTAAGTATTTAATTTAATTTATCAATTTTTTAAAGTCATCAGCAGAATGTAGTTTAAAAAGTGTTAATGTCATTTTAAAAAATAATATCTAACATTCTTGTAAAATAAATATTCAGAAGGAAATTAATAGATAAAAGATAAATTTTGTCTTTATTTCATTAATTGATGAAGTTATCCTCATTTTAAATCTCAAATATTTTCCATGTTTTTAATTTGTAATATTTATTACAAGGCAATTGTAATAAATATAATCATTTAATTTATTTAATGATGCAACACTACAGAAATTTATATGTTTGATAATCATATATAGTTTTTATAATACAATAAAATAATTTAATTATAATTTTTGCACATAAAATTTTTGTAATATAAATTATAAAATATTTTCACTAATATCACTACATCTTTCAATGAAAATTTGTGTCTGATCATAAATATTTGAGAAAGAGAAGATTGTAAAGTATATTGAGATCATACATCACTGATATTTTGAATGTTTTGATATATTTATAATATAGTTTATATGTATTAGTTATATGAATATACCTATGATTGATTTATAATAATAATAATAATAATTTATTCTTATTGATCTTATTGCTTAGTTCATAAATAGCATGGGATCAACAGGTATTATCGACAAATAATTTATTTAACTTCCTCTGTAAGTACGTTATTGGGGGCCAATCTATATGCTTGTATATCCATGGAAAACAATGGAACAAGTAAGATTTAAAAATATTATTTTCATTCTTATGTAGATGTAAAATTTATCAATTTTTAATTAAAGCTATTGTATAATTGAAAAGTTTTTAAATAACAAAAATTAAAATTTAATATTTTTTAACTTATTTTCTGTATAGATTTCATGATTATATGCCAAATTTTATTTATATCAATTAAACTTAGAACTATAAATATATATTTATAATACTGGGTGACAGCATGATAATACCTATGTTTGAAAACAATTTTGTATTTAATTACATTTTATTATTACAATTTTTATAAAAAATTATACAATATTCTTGTTGAATCTTTTATAAATAATCAAGAATTGTTTGAATTCTTTGCATTTATTATATAACTAATTTACATGAGTTAATTAAAATGGCCATGTTCTCATATAAAAGGAAAAAATACAACTATAAATATCTAATAGTATTATAAGTATTTAATTATACAAAATTATACATTTCATTTAGTGAATAATATATAACTGTATTTACTACAATCACCCTGTATGTAGCTGAATTATTTTTTGCAGTAGTCTAACTATTCTTACATTCAAAATATATACAACTAAAATTTATTCTTTATAACCAACGAGTTTCCTGAATTTTAGCATTTTAAGAAATGACTTATGTATACATAAGTAATACTTGTTATGATTTATAAAATTTTGTTTTTACTATATAAATTTTATTGTATATATGTATGTGCATAGAGTAGGAAAAGTGGCAAGCATATTTTATGACACAAAGGAAAAAGGAAGAAATGTGCAAAGCCAGGAGTTGCATATATTAGGGTATGAAAAATGAAATTGCCTTAAGACACAGACGTGCATTCAATGAGCTATGTGAACTATGTTGGAATTACACTTTACTATAATGTATGTAAGTCAAAAAGTTTGTTATTTAGTAATGTATAAGCAAAACAGCACATTTTCATACATCTTGATTGGTCAATTACGTGCATTTCAAGAAAATGTTTTAGCCTTTTTTGTAATTTTAAATTTGTGGAAGTTAATTACAAATTTCAGTCTGTATTTATAATTTCATGCGATTAATACATGTGAAATTGTACTTATTGTATCTCTGTTTTCTTTTTATTCTTCTGCTCCATGTTTTACAGAACAGACAAATTTGTGAGCACTCGCGTGGCATTTTCTTGAATGGAGTAACTGAGTTTCATGATCATAATGTTGTTAGTTTTTCACATAAAAAGCTATTCTCTTCGAACTTAAAGCAAGTCGATTACCTATGAAATGTAATCACTTTTTATGAGAAACTCCTCTAAGTCAATACTAATGGTTCAGAAAGAAAAAAATATTTATGATACTCAGTGACTCGCACGTTTATCAGAGTTCATTTATATTTCAGTTAATGAATCGTGTATCTACTTCCAAGCAAAGTATTAACTGAAAATATAAATCAACTTCTAGATTGACCTCTAGCCTTTATCTAAGCAATTAGATCTGGTCTATATAGGAATCTATATCGATACATACAATATGCATAGTCGGTAGTGATACCAGTCACAGTCACGTATTATTTTTTTATTATTATAATGGTAATAAAAATGGGATCTAAAAATCCTTCTCGCAGATCACAATGATGTATTGGGTCAATCATGAATTTTGCACGTGTAACATCGTTCATGATTTCAGTAATTATGAATTTTAATTTTGTCGCGTTCGTGTGTCTTTTAAATTAATAATTCTTTCTTGGAAAGATAAGTGAATTTTTTCATGTTTTCGTACTATTCTTGGAAGATAAATATATTTTACGATAAAATTTGATTTAAATATTATTTATAAGTATTCAAATTTTCTTATTATTTTCCAATAATATTGCGAAAATTAATTATTACATGTTCATTATAGTCATTGTAGTCCATTAATAATAATGAATTCAGGATCTAGAGTTATTTTTGAAAAAGCGTGACTTTGATTGTTTGATCGATAGTCCAATACTTGTTAAAATTGGTTTTTAGAATAGACGTAGAAGATAAGTGAAGAGAAAAATGGTCTGGAACACATTCGAAACGTGCCAAAAATACTTTGGTCAATTAGTATTAAATAAATATATATATATATATATATATCGTTTTATTTCGATGTAATTGAACGCAGATTTCAGAGCATCTGCTTTTCTATATAATCTACATATCACATTTTCGACGATCTATTTCTCACCTTTTTACTTGTGATATTTCTAAACAAAAAAAGTTCACTGATTTGAAGTCGACTCGTCTAATCGTAACTGTGCAAAAAACAAAAAAAAAAAAAAAAGATTAAAAAAGGAAATAAAAAGGAATATTGTAATTATGTAAAAGGGACTTGATCAAAAACGTAGCAAATTTTTATCACTTCTTGGTCTTTCCAAATTTTATTTATCTCTCATCAAAATTGTTTTTTTTTTTATGAATTATTATTTTTCACATATTTTAGATATATGTATTTAAAATGTTTAATGTAACAATCAATTAATATCCCGTACATCTCTCACAAGGATAATAAAAGCAATTTTACGAATCTTACGAAAAATGTTATCATTCACATTTTCAAGTATTTATAATTGGAACTTCGAATTTGTACAGATGCGAATAATTAAACGGAATGGGCTGCGTTTTTAATTAAAAACCTTGCACATGTATTCTTACAAATGTTACAAATGAAATTTCAATGCATGTTGCACGCTTAGATACAATATGGACATAATGTATCAACCATTACTTTATGTAACTTATTTATTGTTTATTCATGAAATACGCGTTCAAGTGGTTCGTAAAATTGTACAATTTCGATACCAGTCTGTATTCGTCAATGATCAATTAAATCATCTTTGTTTAATTATTATAGTCAATTATAATTATTATAATTCTATATTTATATTATCGAAAGTACAATAAAATATTAATGTAATATTTTTGGTAACATCAATAATTGCTGCAGAATTTTATTTTATCATTTAAAATGTTTGATTTGTAATAAATAAGACGAATATGTTGAAAACACTATAAAAATATTCAATTTTTCAGACTGGAATTATATAGCACAAAGTTCGAACCAAGCGTTGAAATTTATTAATCGTTTACTATTGTATTATACACGATTGCTCAAACATTTCGATGTACATTATACAAAATTAAATAACACGATAAAAATTGTCTCTTTT